TGAAGGTAAATACTCGCCCCAGATGACAATGGTTGCGCACTAAAATCACGAATTGGTAGAAGTTGGAATTCGTGGGCCATTGAGTTCGCTCCCCGGCGGTTGATCGGTTTATGAGCTTGTCTTGTAACTTGGGAGTCCTAGTTTCAAACTGCATACAACTGAAGAGTCACAGACTAGGACGAAACAACTGTTCAGTACTCCCTGGCCTTGCAATCGTTTTCTAACTGATGTCAGGTTGACTCATAAAAATGGATTTATTCCAGCAAGAGTGGACTATACACCTTGAACTATAAATTTTTTTAAAATGAAGTCATGACAACAATAAACTTCCTTTCTCATCCTTGTTAACAATACCATCGTGAGGACATCAGTCCTCATGTACTTTTAAAGAATATGAGCTCATAAAAGAATACTAAAATGGGGTTGGGGGAAGGTATGATGAATACTTGTTTAACGCATAGATATGTAATCAGTTTTCCCAAAACGATTGTAGTCTTCCAGGAAGTGTGATTTTTCCCAACTGATATCAGTCACTGATGTTACTAAATTACTAAAGTAAAAACTACTTAAAAATTGACACAGTGGCTTAATAATCCTGAATTGTGGTCTGAAGAATTGAAATATTTGGCGTAGCTTTCGCACGTAAACTAAAGACACTTACAATTTTTAAAAAAGATCCTATCGATCCGATTAAGAGAAATAATATAATTTACCAAATACCATGTAATGACTGTTAGTGAGGTCATTTGCATAGGTCAAACAAGTAGATCAGGATCAACTAGACTATTGGAACATAAAATTTCAGCTAGACCTAGAATAGTTTACCCTGCTAACCTAGAAAAAACAGAACTCAGCCATCGCACTGCATTCACTTGCATGTAATCAGAAAATAGCGTGAATGGGACAGAGTAAGAGTATTAAAAAGTAATATAATTAGGTCGAAATAGAGAGAGGTTAATCACTGAAGCTTTGTTTATCGATTCGACGCCATACATATGCAACCGGAATGATGCAACGCCTATACGGCAGATATAGAAAGTGACAACAAACAACAAAGCGAAGTTGGAGAGACAGAAAGAGAGAAAATACACATTACTACGATTATTATTGTTGTTGTCATTATAGTTATCATTACTATTCACACTCTGAATTGTTTCCACTTGACCCACTTGTCATTCTAAACCCAAAATCATTAATTTTTATTTTTTATTTTTACAGTATTGAATTCTATCTTATCAAATTTCACACCATCTTATGTAACATTTTATATTCGCCTACTAATTCTATAATTATGTACCCCTTTCCCAAATCTATACACCTTATGTACTGTGAAGAGTGCCAAACTAGGACGAAACAGCTACCCAGTACTCCCAGGTTTTCCACTGGTTCTCCAAATGATGTCAGCTCATGATGAAATCCTCCATGCAATGAAACAAAATCCCTACAAAACTAATACCTGAATATTCTATATATTACATTAATTATTTTGCAACTTGACATTAAACTATGATTATAATCACATGTATTTTAATTGTATTTCATACTACTATTATTATTTCATGTATTCACACCTTTGACCTAATTCCCTCACCGGATATAATTTCTTAAAAACCATATATATACGATTGTACAGCTTGATAATAAATTCGTTGAAAAGAGTCTCTTCGCTGAATATTGTGTTCTTAATGCCACAGTGGGAATTATTAAATTATTGAAAAAAATATATAAGACAAATTGTGACTAAATTGATATGATTGTGAGCAATAATTTATGCTCGAAACGTCATTCAGTTGTTGAAACTGCATCACTGTATGATTATTAAAATAGACTTCTTTAATATGGAAAAGATCCAACTGTTGATTACACCGTTTCAGCCTACTAAAAGGTATCTTTTTGGAGATATAATGGGGGAGGATTTGTAGCTTAGGTGGATGATTTTGATGTAGTTGTGTTTTCTAAGCTGGATAGTTTATTTGCGAAGCTTTCATTGCCCTACTAGGCAACATCTTCAGCGCATACCTTAATTTGAAGTAAATGAATTATGTAGAAACTAGATGTTAGAATGATCCCATTATTTAAAGGAATTTCCTCCCAACTAGTTGAACAGATTAAAACACACATGTGGGTTTAGAGGAGCCTATTTTGATTCGAAACATTCCAGATATCAATAGACCTTAGTTACTGGTTAAAACTGTGATTTTGCCGCGTGAATTTGCTGCTTTTTCTGAAATTTGAATTTATAGTGCATAAAAATTATATATATACCCTTAGGTTCAGAGTGGAACATAGGCCTTTAACGGAGCATCCCCATTCCACCCTATTTTCTACAGTCCTGTTCAGCTAGCCAGACGATTATGCATAGACTGGCAGCCTAACTCATCGTTTCCAATTTACCTCCCACTCGACGTTTCGCATGGCGCTAGAGGCCACTCAACGGTCTTATCGCCGTGCGCCTCATCCATCTTCATTTCCTTCGGAGTATTTGTTTAGGCAGTAGGTTCTTGATTAGTTCATCCTCGCAATTTCTTGTCGCTGATACTTTCTGAGTGGCCATTAAATCTTCATTGTGGGACCAGTGAGGGCAGCTGTTGATGGAGATCTGCAAGAAGCTGTTGGAAATGCCTTTCGTGACTTGCACTGCACATCTCTATAACAATAAACATCTTTATTCCGGACAGTATTCATAAAATGTACAGAATTTTTAGAGGAGTTGATAACTTGATATTTTCCCATCGTACAAGATCTTCAAGTAAAGTATTAAATGACAGCATATCCGTTCCATTATGACATAGTTGCTTTATCTCCTTCAAGAAATCCATGATATCTAGTTGAAAGTCAATTGTAAGATGTTCAGAAGTACATTTTGAGACCCAATGACATAAATAAAGAACAGGTATCCCTTGTATTGGAACACGATGCTACACACAATCAGGCTTTTCCTCAAGTTTAGTTGGAACTTGTGAATGAGAAGCTTGTAAACACTTTAAATACACACAAGAATAGATAATACCATTACAGTTCATATCGTAATCGACTAAAACAAACCAAACGAGAGAAAATATATGAAATAGAGAGATGGAATTTTTTGGTAGCCCAAGGTTTAAACAGGCAGCCTAACTCACATAGAAGAACTAACTGACTGACTTAACGATGGTGTTGAAAATTCGAATTTCTTTTGTTCATGAGGGTAAATACAGAAGGTTTCCTCACTGATTGCAGAGTAATGATGGTCTGTCTTGCCTTTCCGATCATGTCTAGTTTTGACATCGTCACCCATTCTATCGCCTGGAGTTGAAAGGATGATGCCTAGATAAGTGATGCATGAGTAGTTCTGTTGAATTTCTTTCTTTTCCGATGGTATTTATTTTAGCTGTTTTTTGAAACTTTATCGAACGATTATTAGGCAACAACCAATATAGATCAGTATATCTCAAGCCAATATGGACGGGATAGTTTATCAACTTCCATAGCTTCGTCCTACTGATCCGAAAGTAAAACCCAGTACGTACATTAAGTTCAAGGATTAGAAAAAAACATCTGTACAGAAGATACAATAGGAAAAGAATTAAATTTATTACGTGAAACCCTACTAGAGAACGGGTATCCACCAAGATTCATCGACAAAAACATGAAGGAAAAGCTTCTGAAGAAGACATTTCAGGCAGCCACCTTACGCATCACATTCTCTAGCAGACAGTTAATCCAGCCTAACGTTAAGGACAAGATAGCGATTTAGGCCACCTCATTGGGCATTTATCAATTTAATTGCTCTTGTGGAACAAAGTACATTGGCCGTACGCAACGTCAGGTTCACAAACGTATTCTGGAACATTTTCCAGCTTGGTTAGCCAGAGGTGAAAAGAAGAATACTATCAGCTCCATCTTCGAACACCTTGTCAACTCTGGACATCGAGCACCCAAGCATGAATGTTTCATAGTGCTACACAGAGTCCCTCAATATCGTATAAAAGGACTTCGCATACGCAATCTGTACACAGCTGAATCACTGGCTATTTTCAGGATCTGAAACCGGACCTCTGCATTCAAAAGTACTACATACATTCACTCGCCCTACTGTGTGGCCGGAGTAACGTTCTTACTATAATTTTGCTTCTTTTATTAAGAAAATTTTCTTCGCCGTTTTCATCTTTTTCTTATCACTTAATATGGGATTATTTCGGTCATAAATCTATATAACTGATAAATAACATTGACTCAGTTTAGTGGTGAAACAGCTTTTCGCCTGAGACAAAATTTTCGTTCTTTTGCATATGCAAATGATTGGAGGGATAGGAAATATTTACTGGGTCATGAAGTAAACGGAAGGCAATGTAGGAGGGTGGGGAACTTTTCCTTATCAAAGAGGTCATGTTTAAAGGCTGTACAATTATATTTATAGTTTAAAAATATATATAGTAGTCTATTGTTTCACAATGCTCAAATCTCGAGTATCCGGTTAATTCAGGTCATGCAATTCTACTTGAGTTTCCTTTTATCTACATATATATGTATATACAAAGCTAGATCGAAGGTGGTCCAAGAAGTTCTAGATTTTTACACTTGTGTTTGACGGAGGTGTCAGTAATTCTTCAGTTGAAACTCAGATTGTGCGTGCAGGAAAACTGTGTCCCGATTTCTTTATTTCCAAGTGTTGGTTTGAAGGGATTTCAGGATTTCATCATGAACTGAAATCGGTTGGAGAACCACTGAAAACCAGCACTGGAGTACTGGACAGCTGTTTCGTCAGTCTAGTTTGAGACTCCTCATCAGTTTGCACCCATCACCAAGGTTAGAATCCAGCTAACAAGGCGAGCTCGTCGACTTTTAAGCCCCTGGGTCCCGCTAGATCCAGTAGCCAGTCCATGAATTCCAACTTCTGCCAATTCATGATATGGCGCGGCCACTAGCAAATGTCATCCGGGGCTAGTATTTGTCCTCACACTCGACCTGCTCTATCGCACTGGTCACAACTTCTCACTGGGATCCAGGTGACTGACTACCTACCTGCATAGGACTTCCTTATTTGTTGGAATCTGGTCTGAAAAAGTGATTCAGTTTTTCTTCACCTTTATTTTCACCTGTCGAGTGAAAACTCAACTAAGCTGATCCTCATTTAATCGCGGTTTTCCCCTTTGTCAAATTTCAAACTTCTAAATCCATTGTCTTGATGATTATTAAGTGATTTATTTCTGTTTTCAGACAGCTCTTCTAAACAATGGCATCAATTATATCACTCCCTTTTATTGTTCAGTAATGGAATTTTTGAAACTTGGGCCCCCAGAATACCCCATCGTTATTTTGCATATAATTTTTCCCCATCACTTTGTTTTAATCTGTTAAAATATGGTGAGGTGGATTATGCGTTAGACTCTGCTCTGGGAGTGAGGAGACAGGAATACTTTGGAACACCTATAAAAAGACTCTGGAAGATCTGGATTTCGCATGTGGATGATATATGTCTAATGTCACACAAACTCGAAGGCTTGCAGGCAAAAACCAACAAACTGGAGGAAGGGGCTGGCTGGCAGTCAGTGAAGACAGGACTCCAGGTGAACATGGAGAAGATGGAGGTGATGAAGATGACCAATGAACAGCAACAACAACAATGACAACAACCAGTACCAATCACCATCAATGGGAGAGACTTGACAGAAGTGTCTTCCTCCACCCATATAGGAAGCATTGTCTCAATTACAGGCAGTCGGAATGGATGAAGATGTCAAAGCCAGCCTGATAGCCAGAATCGAAAAGACAATCAAAATACACCTTCATCAATCTGAAACCAGTTTGGAAATCTTCTGCAATCAGTCAGCCAGCATGAAGAACAAGATTCGGATTTTGTTCAACACAAATGTGAAGTCATTCAGTCGGTTGTTCTATATGGGTCAGAAATTGCACTGCATGTCAATCACGAAAAGGATTTCTAACAGCCAGTTACAGACTCTTATCAACGACTGCCTTCGTTCTATGCTGAAGATCAAATGGCCGGCCAGCCAGAAAGAATTAGCAACATGAAACTGTGGCTTGGAATATACCAAAAGGCGACAGTCGATTGCCCAACGAATGTGTCGGAGAAAATGTAGATGGATGGATCGGGCATACATTGAGGAGGCCGTCGAATGACATCACACGCAATACAGGCCATTGCTCTAGTGGGACCCAGTGTAAAGGCGACGAGTGGATCGTGGGTGCTAGAGTGACATGGAGTAAATCGTTTGGCGAGGAGGAGATGGGAAATTGTGGGCAATCGTGGAACTGGATGAAGGGGACAGTGGGAAATAGAAGAAAGTGGAGATGTGTTGTTGAAGCCGTGTGTTCCACTTGGAACTCAAGGGAACAATAATAATAATGACCTTTAATGGTGTTTTATATTCTCGCGAGTATTTAAAATGTCTACAACCTACTGATTCGCAGGTTTCTACTAACCTTGATAAATAGGATAATCGTAGGTGGCAACGCATTGCAGTAAATGAGATTTTTAGTGCAAACTGTCAGTGCCTGAGAAATGAAACTAGTTACCTACAATCTTCATTTATTGAGGTATTGTTCTCTCAAAATTTACTCCCTCATCTTTTTTAAAATTGTCTTTCAACCAAATGTCGTGAATTTCTCGAAGTAGGAATAGAAGAAGAAATATCATAATGGATTGGTTTTTGCTTCACGTGAGACAGCAGTGTGTCAGGCGATTTACTGTCAGTTACTCTTTTACTTGAAGAATAAAGCTATTATTATTATCATTAATAAAAAAAGATTATACACACTCTGAATATGCTCCGTCGATAAAAGAAACAATCAGAAATCACCTGTTTTCAGCGATTTCCCATAAACGTATTTCCTCGGGGAAATTAACTTACATTCATAGAATTATCATGGGTTACACTCTGATCAGAAAAGTCTTGAAAGAAACAGTAAAGCTGCCAGATTTACTGGATTTTGTTTCAAGAATGAAGTGAAGTCACCTTCTTGTCAGTTAGACACTTCTAACTATATACGAATCCTTATGCCTCATTGTGTTGTTTAAGCACATACACGGCCCATTATTCTAGAAAATTACCCTTCAACCACTTGGTTTGTTATTACAGTTTGACCAAGATATAAATAAGAAGAAAAAGTATTTTCGCACTAAAGGTATTGATTTCTCAGTGCTCATTCACTTTGAAGCAAACATGTACCCAATTTTTCTGTTACATGAAATAGCCAATTATCTTTTGATTTATTGTGAGTACTTGATAATCAGATCGATAAATCATACTAATATATTCAAAGGCCAAATTTTGCACTTACCATTTCTTTATGACTTGTATGATAAGTTTGTGATATAAGAGGAAAATTTTCTTTACCCAATCGATTTCTGAGCATGAGTAGATGAGCAAACTGTAAAAAGAAACATGAATAAAGAATATTGAGTCATTACTGCTTTTTAAATTGTCACAAATGAAGTGTGAGTATATTTAACTATAAACTATACATAGAACAAGGCGAAAGAACGTGAGAATATCTAAAATTAAACATTTATAAGAGCTTGTTTATAGTGTTTTGATTTGTTTCAGGTGTGACCTCAGATCATTATTAGTTACAGAATGACTGTAAACCAAGGGTGTATTGAAGAGATGTTTCTTCCTCGTTTTGGACTTTTCAGGAATACCCAACCACCAGGGTTCCAGCCTAGGACCATCCGGTTACAAGGTGAGCTAGTTGACTATTTATCCACTAAGACCCGATCCAATGGTCCATGAGTTCTGACGGTGACATTGGCTGGCGGTTATGCTAAAATCACGAATAGGTAGAGGTTGGAATCGACGAGCCATTGAATTGGGTCCCGGGGGCTAAATGGTCAACAAGGTCGCCTTTTAAGCGCAGGTTCCTAAGCTAAGGCAAAACAGCTGTCTAGTAGTCCAGTGCTGGTTTTTAATGGTTCTCGAACTGATATCAATCTGTGAAATATCTATCCGTACCAATAAAATATTAGTCAATAAAACAGAACAAATAAATATAATTTGGCTGAACGGATTCACAATTCGTAGCCTGCTACGAATTTAGTTAAATGATGCGTCGGTAACTCAGTGGTTAGGACTCTCGCCAACCATGCAAATGGTCCGGGGTTCGATCCCCTGCCGACGCACACCCGATATCTATGGTCGGCCTGCAAAATCTGCGCTACCGATATCAATGCTGAAAATTCCATACTTGTACTGAAAATACGGTGTGGCATCAAGCTGTAATCAAAATCAAAAAAGTAGTTCGTTTCAAATGACCAAAATGCCATAGAATGCCTTGCCCTGCAGTTCATCTTTGGCTTACACACTTTAGCCATTGTCTCTTGTACATAGTCAGTAAATCGGTGGCATATTTCGAAATTTCTGTAAATGATTAATGTGTCGCGTGAAGTTTAAGTAAGGCAGAGTTAGAAAACGGTGTGTTAAGATGCACACCTATATGCAAGATAAAGTTTATTAAATACCCTACGTGCTTTGATGGATTCTAAACAGGTTGTAGACTGTTATCAACAGATGCCGTCTTCGCTAGCTCCAGAAAGAATTAGAAACAAGGAGCTGTGGAGACGAACCAGTCAATAACCAATTACCCAACAGATATGTGGAAGAAAATGGACACACACTGAGGGTAACATCTCGCGCTCCAAGCAATCACTCGAGTGGAAGGTGAATGGTAGACGACGAGCAGGGCTTGAGTCCGAGGATGATATGGATACGGTCGCGTGAAGAGAAGATGAAAGCTTATGGGCAATCGTGGGCCCAGTTGAACTGGAGAGCGAAATCTATAACAAAGCGGAGATGTATTGTTGAAGGCTTACATTCCACTAAGAACCCAAAGAAATAATAGTGTGGTGAGTGCTGGCTGTGAACAAGCCAAGACTTTAGATAGCAATTTGCGTCATTGTTTACCTCCTGAATCGGGGTCACGAGAAAAAAACACAATAACAAAGATTAACCTTGAGGAATTCACCAACCAATCACAGAAGACTTAACGTGTGCAAATACGATTCGTAGATACATGACTTAACTTTCTGAGAAACGGTCATAGGCAGTACAGGATAACCTTCAGCAGGAAAACAACCAATCAGAAGACGTTGCTTCTCCGCTGACAATAATGTACACAAAAATCTATAAATATCTGTTGATTTTCTCAATAAACGATCTGTTGACTGACCCTTGTCTTCTGTCGTTACAATAATAATTTAAATGTGTTTCGACCACTATTATAAATTAGCAATCGACATATTGCTACAATGAATTTATACACGTAGTCTTTTTACCAAGCATCAGTTGCTGCTAGCACAAACGACTTCTTAGAAGAAATACTCACAATGATGAATTTAAGAAAAGAATGGGTTTGAGAGAAAAGTTGTATAACAATATTTACGAAATGCTCTGGTTAATAAATCTCTCAGGGATCAATCCCATTTCATCAAAAATAGATTACAACTAAAAGATTTCAGATTCACGATATTTTCTGTGTCGGTCACTTGAATTTTCCTTTTGAGTTGAGTGTAATTTGTGATTCTGAGGGGAATTTTTTCGATGTTAGGTTAAGTTTCTACAGAGTCTAGAGCATTAATTTGAATAGTATACGGAAAAAATATTTTTCGCTATTCATTCGGTGTCCTTAAATCACTCAAGAAAGATTCATATAGCTTGGGGCATAATTTTCTAGTATTCTGTTTAGTATAGTATTGATAATTACCAGAATTCATCAAACATTTCTGTCTTGAAAAAGTGACTTCTATAATGTCAAACTCGTTAACCACAGATAATGTGAAGTAACTTTAAGCAAGAATATGCACAATACACAAGTACAACAACTATGTAGGTAATTTCTGCAGATGATTAACGCGTGTACAATGCTCGCTAGTAACTGGCTATAGGACAAGGTTGATTGAACTTCTCGTAAGATGTCGTCACAAGTGGGGTATGCCAGGTCGGGTGTAAGGATAAAGTACTCACCAACTATAGTGGCTGTTAGTCACGATAAAATTAAGAATTGGTGGAAGCCGCAGTTCATAGGCAACTGGATTGGTCCCCAGCAGCTGAATGGTATACGAGTTCACCTTGTAATCCAAGGATTCTGCATTCGAATCCAGGTAGGTGGGTACTGTTGAGGAGTCCCAAACTAGGAGAAAACAGCTGTCCAATACTCCCTGATTTTCCAGTGTTTCTCCAATTGGTGTCAGCTCTTGATAAAACTTGAAACAGACTAAGGGATAATCAGTCAGTAGGAGAAACACTTCTTTTGTATTCGTGTCGAATGGATCAATACAACCCAGAAGAAGTGAGATTACAATCAACACTGACAACTACTTGAATATCTATGTTATTAACTGATGGTTGAAATACATACAATACAGGAATTCAAGTTAATTAGAATATTCCAGTAGTTAGATTTTTGTCACGAATCAACATCATTTAGGGAGATTATCAGTTGGGAGCACTGTACAACTGTTCTGTCATGTATTTTGGGACCACTCAGTAGTGTACACTCACGACCCCACCACCAGGGATCTACCCGGAGCTCTTCAGGTTACGACACAAAGCTTCCTGACCATCCAGCACTTGTTGGGCTAGAATTCAATAACTTGTATATTATTTTGAAGGATTTTTTCGAAAGGCCTTGAATGTCTTGAATTAACCAGATGTTCTGTCACTGAACTATATACACGTTTTCGATCTCCTTTTACTAGCCAGGCTGGATAGTGCTCACGAGCGCGTTTTTCAAGTTGGCGCATGGTACGGCCTATGTATTCAGCTCCACAAGAGTAAGTAAACTGGTATATGCACGTTGAAGGGGCCCAGTGCGATAGCTTGTCCTTCGCGTTCTTGCTAAACAGTTTCTTGCAGGAAAACGTCAGTCGTAGGCTTGTGGCGAAGTATATCTTTCTCAGACATTTGCAGAGGCGTTTACGAAGGATTTCTGCTTCAATAGCACCTTTGAACTCTAGAACAAGCAGAAGTATCTTATTTTCAACGGATTGGACTTGTTCGGAAGTTTTCTTAGAACAACGTGCATATACCAGTTTACTTGCTCTTGTGGAGCTGAATACATAGGCCGTACCATGCGCCAACTTGAAAGACGCGCTCGTGAACACTATCCAGCCTGGCTAGTAAAAGGAGATCAAAAACGTGAAGATAGTTCAGTGACAGAACATCTGGTCACTTCAGGACATTTAGCGCCTTTCGAAAAATCCTTCAAAATAATATACAAGATTCGACCAAACCTATCAAAGGGAGTAAAATTAAGGCATCTGGGCACTAGCCATCCAAAATCTTAAACCCACGCTTTGTATCCAAAAGAAATACGTCCAACCTCTGTCCATGCTATGACCATCATAAACATTTTCATATCCAAACTTTCTGTTTATTTTGTCATTTTACTATTTCTACATATTTAATCCCTGATTGCATAGTTCAATAACTCCCAAATTCTGAAATGGTCAACTCGTAATATAGCGCTTCCCTCACCAATCACTACTGATGGATTTCCTGAAACTGCGATGGGATATAAGGACCAGTGGGGTCCACCTCATGTCAAGATGAAGTGAATGCTCATCAAGGGCATTGGTAAGGACAGCGTTATATCACAAGTTAACAGAGTTAGAATCCGCAGGTCAGCGAATTCCAGCCCAACAACGGCTGAATGATCAGAGAGCTTAGTGTCGTAACCAGAAGTTTCCGGGTTCCATCCCCAGAGGTAGGGTCGTGAGATCGCACTTCTGAAGATTCTCAGAGTAGGAGGAAACAGCTATTCAGTGCTGCCAGTTGATTTCCTAGTGGTCTCTCAGACTGATGTGTTGGTTCGTAACGAGAATCTGAAAACTGAAATCAATCCAAAATCTCCACAAATCCTGTAATCTCAAAAATCAGTAAATGACAAGTGAGGTATCAGTTGAGTACTGCTCTAATCTCAGTTATTGGGAATACCTCATAAAAAGCATCTTCAGTAATGATACTTAGACGGTAACTGTTGTTTGAGAAATCGTTTATTATAAAATATATTTTATCTATGAATGGTGTTGTGACAGGACATGAATAATAAAAGTCAGTATCAGTCATTATGTAAATATCTGAGTGAAACTATATACTACTGACTGACTGAGGCGAGTAGTTGTCTGCACCAATCACACAAACCAGTAATGCTTAGTGGCTGACCAGCCAAATCGAAGTGATCTAGACATTGCACAGCCACTTAGCTCGTTTGAGGCTCAGCTCATCAGTGATTTACCGGGATTAACTCTAGCTCAGACAGTCAAATTAGTTCAAGTCAGCTGATTTCCAGCTAGCCAATTTAGTAAATTTTCGTTACCATAAGGCAGATTCACAATTCGCAGATTAGTTAGCAGTTTGCAAAGTACACATTTCGGGTGGCTTGAATTGTTTCTGTCGGTCTGTCTGTCTGTTTTCGACATAGGACTTTGCACAGATGTGCACCAGTTCAAGTCACCACACTCCATGTAGCACACAAAGCAAGAGAAGAAAGTAGAAGAAATGCATATTAGAGACAGTAAACAGAGGTGTGAGACAAAGAAATAGTAATAACGAAGAACAGTATAGTTTCATTGGGTATTATAAGTCACAAGGAGTGGATGCATCTGCGCCTGCCATTGAGAACGATCACTTTGAGCCATATCACCAGTTGTCTCCAGCTATTGGTTTTTGCCGTCCCGCGGATCCCAACCAGTGAGGAAGTCTACACCTCCCTACGTGGCTTAAACTAACTGTTGTGGATTTCATTGAATTGTTTCGGCTCCCTGAGTCTAGTCGAACCTTTTCAACTGATTATGGGCTCGGCCCAAAACGAGAGAAATGGACGTCCGGTGTTTACACCATCTGGATCTGGTTCTTTTGAGTGGTAAGCAACTACTCACCTCAATCTATCAGTAGTATGTAATTTTATGCAAGTATGCTTGCTTTCTTGGTTATCATTAATGTTATTAAGCAGATCATATGTATTGTGATCCTAATAATTTTGGTTCCTAAAGGAAACTGTGGTAAAATCTCAACCCTCAAACTGTGTACACTGCAGATATGTAGATCAAGAACTTGAATTACATAAATCATTAAAAACCTAATAAAAACAACATAATATCTGAAGTTGTGAAAACATTTCATCATTTATGACAAATCATTTAAGTTGGTAAAAAAATACAATCACAGTTCAGGCTGTAACCGAAGAGATATTTGCACTTACAAGCCATGGTCGATTCTTCATGTTGTAAACTGCGTGCAGTGTATTCATACTCGGTGTTCCGCCGTACATTAATCCAGTAAGTATCGCCTGCCAGTCTTCATTTGAATCACTTGGATGTTGGCGTATCAGAACAAAGTCAGGCTTGAATGATCTAATTCAAAATAATTTTTAAAAAAGATTAGACTCTGACAAATACAGAACTGATATTAGGTAAAATCAGTTAATCAGTGTCTATGATGGTATTAACTAGTACCACTGTGAATGGCTAAACGAGGCTGACTTCATGCTCTAGTGACTGATATACTTTGTGGCAAAATTCTCAATACCTGAGGAGTGCTTCTAAGAAACCAATGCATCTGAGAATTTGAATAAAGCAAAAACAACAGCATTTTTGCAGAATAAAATGTCTAAAAAAAGCAAATGCTTTAAACAGTGCCATCACCAGACACAGGTCATGATGTGGACATCGCAAGACCATTCAAAATTATCAGTAGTCAAAAGATTCGTATTCTCCCTAAGTTTGCCGAAGCAATCTCCATCAAGCGCCTGAAACTTGATTTATGCTTTCAGAAAGAAGCAGTTATCAGTCTCTTCTTGCCCTGGTAACTGGATGTTTTCATCCTCTCTTTCATGTGACTACGTAACACCGAAAGTTTCAATTTTGAATAATTATTATTTTTTGGGATAAAGTGTTTGTTATTATTATAATTGTATGCATATATTGATTGATCTTTTCTTTCTGTAGATGTACTTATTAATTAATGTCTTTGGGCTGTAGGCAGCTGATGAGAAGCCAACGAAATAAGCAATGATGGTACCATTTTATTCTGCACAAACTGTTTTTTTCTTTTGCTTTATTCAAATTCATTAAGGGGAATAAATGTATGAAGCACCTGAGAATCCTTTCAATCGAAAATAAACACTTACACATGTTATGACAGTGTTTTCCTTGTTCTTTCTTTATTTTTCTTCTCACTTGACAGCCTATTCAACTTGTTAGATGTACATTTGGGCAAGCATACTGTGCGTTACATATACACCTTCCAGTTGACCGATACTTACAAACTCATACTACTGTTTTTGAGAATGTAAATCATCAAATGATCTGTTCTCAGTGAGTATGAGACTACATCCTGGATACAAATACTTTTCAATTTTATTGCTATCTGTATTATGATCTTGTCGATGACAAGGTGATCACTTCAACTACAATTAAAATGTTCTATGGATTATATTACGAAGTCGAAGGAAACTATAAGTTTCGTCTAACCACCCGTCCCTGACAGCAGGTAATAAATATTAGTTATCTCCTTTTATTAAGGTATTTAAAATATTTTGTACCACGGTGAATTTCATTCCTCACAATAATTTTTTTATGTTACTGGGATATCGCATCATTTCTCTGAAAGCTTGAACTACATCAACGTTTCCAGGTAGTTCATGGTGTCATTTGAAGTAACGTCTTTATTAATAAGGATCCCAATCTATGAAACTATGGAGATCATTTGTCAGTATTCTGATCTTCTTACACTTCCAGTGTCAGGTTTCAAACGTCTACTGCTAATGGACACCCATGGATGTACACTTCCAGTTTGATAACACTCATTACCATCAAATAGATGGTGTAGTTATGCGTAGTCCACTTAACCCTATTTTAGCAGATACCTTCATGACCAACCATGAAAAACAAAGTCGAAGCCTCCAGTCGATGAAACAACTTCTTATTGTCGAAATGTCAATGACAAATTTGTAGTAAGCAACTGTGAAAGTCATATGGCCTACCTACTCGGATTATTCAATGACGTACCTAAAACTGCTAAATTTATTATGGAACGTGAAAATGATGGAAAATTTCATTTCCGTGACGCTACAATGCAATGCTTAGAAGATGGTAGTCTTCAGAAGTCAGTTTATAGAAAGCTGACAGGGAATGTGCACTACTTGCATTTAAATAGTTTTTGTCCAAATAGCTTTAAACAAGCACTGGTCAAGACTCTATACCACAGAGCTAGGGGAACATAGTCTACAGATAAATTAGAGGAAGAATTTATGTTCCTCGAAAAGTTGTTGAAAAACAACGGCTATCCTCAAAAATTCATTAGCAAATATGGAAGATCTGAGGGCTCAAATGTTAAACAAATCACAGTGGGTAAAAAGCCTGTCTTCATTCAACTTGATTTTAAAGGGGAAAATATTGCAGCAATTGTCAAAAGAAGACTGAAGACGTATCTAGCTAGAGCCTATTCTGGAGCTGAGGTGGTTCCCATTTATCAGACAATATGTTCTGTAGTGCAATCAAGAGGTGACAGATATCCTTCTCATGTCAACTCTAACTGCATATACAAATTTATATGTATTTGAAGTAGCAGTTTCATTGGTGGAACAGAAGGAAGAGCACAACTCTAATTTTCTGAACATGTACAAAAAGTTTACGTCTCAGGTGAAAACACTTGTACAACAGTGCAGTTACCAGACATCGCATCATTACGGGACACCAAAACACAGACATCACGAAATCCTTCAATATTATCAATAGACCAAAATGGTTGATTTCTGCCCAAGTTTACTGAGTCAATCACCTGAAACCTGATTTATGTGTCAAGAAAGAAGCAATGATCAGTCTTTCCTTGCCCTTCGATCTCTCTTTCATTTGATCAGATAACCCTTGGTTTTAACCTCTCCCCTGATTTAATTTAGTGTAACTCTGCTTGTCTTTTGTTTTATGATTTGAGTTCAACTCGTCAATTTACTCAATTCATTAGTTCCTCGTCATTATGTAACTCCCTTGCCACTGTAACGAGAAACTTATTTTTGTTTAAACTTCAACTTTCTGGGTATAAACTGTACAAGTGTAATTTCTGAGCACTGTTCACTGAGTTTCGAATCTGCTGTCAATTGGCATTATGTAATAATTACAAGTATGTTAAAACTGTTCTGTACATAAGCACAATAATCTCTTTGGAATGTACGCAGTTGATGAGAAGCCAACGAAATAAAGGATGGTAGCATCTTATTCTGCATAAGCTGTTGTTTTTGTTTTATTCATATTCATAAAAGGGCATCAGTGTATGGAGGAAAATGTTGAGAATAGACAGAAACTATGCATATCCTTGTCCATAAAGTTATGATAAACTTTAGTGAGTGCCAATCGAACGACTGAATAAAAATGTTTCGTTCAAGAATATGCCATATGTATATAAATTTGTTTTTAAAAGTTTGCCTATGGATTGATATCAGTTAGAGAACCATTGGAAACCAGCCAGGGTGTAGCGGACAACTGTTTCATCCTAGTTTGCGGATCTTCGGTAGTGCGCACCCACCGATAAGGTTTGAACGCAGGACCTTAGGGTTAACAGGCAAGTTCGTATACAAAATCTCGGAGATTATTCTGAGGCTTGCTAGTGACTGGCTACAGGACAGAATTTCCTGGAGTTCTAGTGAGAAGTCGTCACCAGTGAGGTCCACATAGTCGGGAGTGAGGATGGATTTCCAACCAATGACAATGGATGGTGGTCACGCTAAATGCATGACGAATTGGTGTAGAAGTTAGAATTCATGGACTGGCGGCCATTGAGTCGGGTCCCAGTGGCTGAATGCTATACAAGCCAGCTTGCCTTGTAACCGGAAGGTCCTGGATTCGAACCGTGGCGGGTTGGTTGCGTACTGCTGATGATTCCCAAATTAATTAGATGATAAAGCTGTCCAGTACTTCGGTGTTGGTTTTCAATGGTTTTCTAACTGATATCAGTCCATGCTCAGACTCATGAAAACAAATCTAATTCTTACAAACCAACTCCTTAAAATGTATAAATTTTTTATTCCATTTCAACTTTATTGAAGTGAATTAATTGGTGTCGTTAAGCATGAGAGCTGGTTAAGTGGATTGGCAGATTGTTCTTCACTTTAATATATGTGTAGAACTTGGGGACTGTAGTAGTAAGTAATTCTATATTAGTTTTTTATTAGATTTATCACACAGTGAAACAGTATTATTTACTGGATGACAAGGTTTCGAACAAAATTTATTGTGGTTCATAATCATATCAATTGTAATCACGCGACTTCGAAACTTGAGTCTTATAGTTTTCTTTGTTTTCTCCTATTTGTTATAGGGGTGGTAGAATTTTCCAGTTATCTGTGACAGGTGTTGAATCATTCCTATTGCATGTTTTTGCAGTTGATTCGATAAACAAAGCTTTTGTTATCAATCTCTCCCTCCACCCTATGACATTAGATTTTAAAACTGTCATCCTATCCCATCCAGCCTATTGTATGGTTGTGTGTAATTGCATGTAGTGCTATAGCCAGCTGAACTCTTCTCTAGATTTCTTATCTTATTCGGGTCAAATAATCTAGATTTGGCTGCTAGGTTTTAATGCTCGGCTAGTCTGACTGCCCCTGTTCTACTTGTTTGACCTATGTATTTGACCTGACAATCATTTCAACGGGGTATTAGATAATTAAATTGTTTTATTTTAAAGGCTCTACAGGATCTTTTAACCGACAAGCCTTGTTTCTAATTGAGTTTGTGGGTGTGAATGCCTACCACTTTTATTCCTGCCCGCCTTGTTAAGAATTCTGCGTAAAGTTTCCGAGGTTCCTTCTTTGTATGGAATTACTACTGTTGATTTAGATTCCTTATTGTTGGTGTTGTCTTGCGCATATTTGATATGCATGTCGTCATTAATATTATTATTATCATTATCACTATTATCATTATTTATTTTATTTTTACATTTCCTTACATACTTTCTGATTATATTATCAGGGTAATTATTAAGTTTCAAGGCTTCTCTTACATGTCTCACTTCCTGTCTTAAATTTTCCTTGGTACTACTTAGTTCTTGTGATCTGTCACTTAAACATTTCACCAATCCCATTTTTACTGACATAGGATTGCATGATCGGAAGTCTAAATATCTGTTTGAATGTGTGGGTTTCCTGTAAACACTAGTGTTTAACTTCCCATCTTGTTTCCTTTTTACACTACAAACTAACATTGGAAGCTCCCCTTCCTGATTTTCCAATTCATAAGTGAATTGAATTGCCTCCACTTCTGAGTTAATGTGTTCGAAATATCTATCTATATCTTGTCTTCTAAGTACAGTGAATGTGTCATCTACATACCTCCACCATACTTTTGAATAGGGGCTGAACGTTTCAATCACTATCTTTTCCCACCTATCCATGAATATATCTGCCACAACCGGGGATATTGGTGACCCCATGGCAACTCCCTAAGTTTGTTTGTGTATTTTCCCCTGTAATTTAAATACTGTGGAAGTGAGGTATAACCGCTCTCCTAGCATTATGTCCTCAAGACTATAAAACTCAAGTTTCGACGTCGTGTGATTATAACTGATATGATTATGATTAATAAATTTTGTTCGAAACGTCATCCAGTACATAATACTGTTTCACTGTGTGATACATCTAATTAACAAACTAATATGGAATTACTTACTACCACAGTGCCCAAGTTTTACACATATATTAGCATAAATCTCTATCAACAGAAGGTATCTAGAGAAAGTTACCACTTTCCCTAATCGAGGCAGCATCGTCTCAACTACAAGTAGTCGACATGGATGACGACGTCAAAGACAACCAAGATCGGAAAACTCAGACAGGCTTTCATCAGCCTGAAATCATTGTGGAATTCTATCGTACTCAGAATAAGAAACAAGATTCGGATATTCATCTTTAATGTCAAGTTATTCAGTTCTTCGATATAGTTCAGAGACCTGGCACACGCTTGACAAATAGCACTTTCCAACAGACTCTTGCGGAATTTCATCATCAGCTACCTTTACTTGCTGGTTACTGAAGAAGAGATGGTTAATCAGAAAGAATTACCAGTCTGACTAGCTGAAAGTCGGGAAACACGTTTGAATAATGTATTCTACTCCCATTGGAAATACTATCATTCACTGAGGTTCAAACGCCTTGCGTCAGTAAGGATTTATTACAGTGGTAAAATGTGTGTTGAGACCTACACTATTTAACTCCTCCATATGTTATTGATTAATTCACTTAGCTACGGTTAAAACGCCTCATAACTATCATATTTTATATATCTCCAACACTATCTACCTAGACAAATAAGTTCAGATAATGAATTACCTTCAGGATTTCCTTTAATTTTATTATTTAGATTAAACATAATTCTGCATACACTGACTTCTATTTTATGCACAACAAGCATTGCTGTTTTTCGTTACACTAATATGTTACTATAGTAACTTTTGTAAAATAAGATAAACAATAAACGTTGAACTGAAAATTTAGCATAATTTTTAAAAAAAATGTTGTTGAAAACAACCAGTGTATACTGTGTTGAAGACTTACTCACCTTAAAGGCTTTGAGCGTATTTGATCATGATATATACTGACAACACAACCATTATCACTGTAGGCTGTCATTGTTATCTCAGAGAATTGAGCCTGAAACAATCAAATAATAATAATAAGTAGAACTTCTGTAGGCTATTACATTGATAGGGATATCAGTGAATTTATTTTATCCTACTAATGAATAATATTTGTAAAGGAGTAATTGTTTGGAAGTGCGTTGGTGTCACAAAGGTAGAATGCTCTCCACTTACGCCTCATGTGGTCCTGGGCTCGATCGTCGGTTGACTCACTTTTAAACCTCCCTAAGCCGGTAATAAGACTGGTAAAGAGGGAAAGTTGAATGGTGTGAGGTTAGCAACCCTACCCCGTAAAAATCAACAGCACTGCTACCGAAACTTAAAGCATCTGGCTTGAAGCCCTATGTTCCACTGGGAATGTAAATGAATAAGATAAAATGTTTGTGAAATCCCTTCTCGCAACGTTTGAGTAGATTGAAAATCCCCATTCAGTCATATGAAAAAGAGAAGACATTCAGCGAAGAGACTCTTTTCGGCGAATTCATTCACATAGCTGTACAATCGCATTTATAAATCATTATTTTTTTTGAGTGTGTGTACATGAGGTTCGTCAAGTTTAGATAATTGATCATGTAATACAAGGATGATCTAATATAGAAACGAAGTTAATCAGACAGCAACTAAATTAAGATTGAGTTAAAAAGCTAGATGACGTAATATAATTGGCTAAAATGTTACAACTTAGGTCAGGATAGCAACAGAGGTAATTACAGGTAGAGATTAAGTAGAAGTGAAATTGAGTGAATAAGTTGGATGACGTAACATGAATGACTAGAAATTGAGCGTTGTTCAAGTCAGTAACAGTGGTAGTGAGGTTTAGAAATTGAATCGGGTGGGGGTAGAGAACAAGAAAGTTGAAAATGTAAAATGTTACAACTGAGAAGACAAAATAATACTAGTGAAGAGACAGAAGAAAAGATTAGGTAGAATTTACATGTCGGCTAATAAGATAGATTACGTCCATTGCAAGTGTAGTGATTGAACGAACTTCTTGCACTTTGTCTCTATACTACATCATTCTTGGATTAACTAATCAATTATCTAAACTTGACAAACCTCATGTACACACACACAAATATTTAAATGTAAATGCGATTGTACAGCTATGTGAATGAATTCGCCGAAAAGAGTCTCTTCGCTGAATGTCTTCTCTTTTTCATAAATCCCTCCTCACCGATTTACTTTCGATATTGATGCTTATTTAGGCATTCCAATTAACATTGCAATTATCATCCTTTTTTCCTACACTGTATATAATTGTTCTCACGTTCCCATACCATCTGTCAACTTAATCCTTATCGTTTTTTGTCTTCCTTCCTGTTTATTCTCTAATTTTAATGATTCTCTTTGTCCTTGTGTGATGATGATATTGATAATGTGTTGTCTTGAGAATTGTAATTTCGTTTGAGCGAGTCAAAGTCATTCTCACTTTAGAGTACTTTTGAGAATTGTTTTGTGTGTGATTCTTGCTGAGAGAATTGAGAGTTCCCACCTTGTTTAGAATATTCTTCTTCATTCTCACGTACTTCATACGGTTGATTTAAGTTAAATAATTTTTTTGTACGGTACTTAGTCTATCTAGCTTCCATAGCAGGATTTTTGAGGTAATTTTGACTATTCGATATGTCATCACCGTTGTTAAGTGGTGGCGAAGATTTTATCGCAAATAATCGTCGTTTTGCTATCGTTGTGGGTTTTTCTGTGACTACGAGTGACTCAAAGAAGTTCTAGTTAACTGTACAGTAGGTGGCAGTGATTGGTTTCCTGCGTTCAGACCACAGCACATAAGTTTTGTATCTTGAAAACTATATTTGACTCTTCTTGTTGCTTGTGAAATGTTTTAGCTTGCTTAAAACATTATGTAGCACATTTAAACATTCACCAGATATATATCGATCATGCTACTTGAAGTGTACTGTTTAGCATGATTGACAAATGGTGTTAGCATTCTAAAAGTGAGCTCTCTAGATACTATTTTACTGAAATTTCTTCTTCAACTTAACTGCATGCTTCAGTGGTCTCTTCAAATTTGAAATAATTTAAGCGAATGTTTTCCGTCTGATATTTTAAAAACCAATTGAATTACTTTCAGTTTTCGTCTATACAAATACGGTACAGCAAAAATTTTTCAATGTCCGATTCTTATGTATCGTTTTGTCTCCAATATACGTAAATATACGTAACTTTTTGTGCGAAAATCCTTCAGTTTTCTGATTGATCGACTCAAGGTCACTCGTGCGTTCGCATCCCTTGGGACGCTATTATAGAACTTTGCCCAAATTAGTTCTCAAATAGAAGATAAGTAGTGTACAAGAAAATTAGTTCACGAAAATTCAATTGTAAGGGGTACTTTAGAATCAAGTAGAATATTTCCAACTGGGGGAGATCAAAACTCTGTCCACAAGAATTACACATCAACGCTTCTGGCAGATAGTCCTTGATTCACTCAAACAAATTAACGCATTACCAGCATCATCAACATACAACCCAAAAAGAGAGGTACTAACACTAGAGAGGCAAAGACAAATAATGATGATTAATTCAGCAGATGATATAATATGGAATCCAGGAGAATAAAGAAATAATAATTACAAAGTTATTTGGAATGAATCAACCATTATCAATATCGTAACGAAATTTCTGAGAAGGCTTTTCCAAACAATTATTCCGTTACCTTTAATCACAAATATGTTTGAATGACTTTCAGAAAAGTAGTAAATCAATTTAGAGATGGGCAAGTTAGCTGTTTTTTTTCTAGAGAAGATGTCTACATAGAGACACAGATAATAAATATGTATCATCAGAGGTATTATATGTGAGATTGAAAAAGCTCGAGATAGAAGGGGATAACGGTAGGGGGCGAAGGTTAAGAATACGATGATAAAGAAGGTGGCAAAGTGAATATCAAAGAGAAATTATACACACAAATACAATTCAGGGTAAATGAGGTAGTGAAATATACATATATTTATATTGGAAGTCACTAAGTCACGGAAATCGCTATTAACTTAAGTAGTATTATCTTTTTATTTCTTCACATTCCCAGTGGAACATAGGGCTTCAAGCTAGAGGCTTGAAGTTTCTGTAGTAGTGTTTATTTTTACAGGATGGGGTTGCTAGCCTCATGTCCAACGTTCCCTTTTTATCAGCTTTATTTCTGGCTTAGTAAGGTAAAGGAGTGCGTCGGTGGACGGGGATTGAACCCCAGACCATGTGCATGGTCAGTGAGCGTCCTAACCGCTGTGACACCGACGCACTAAGTAGCATTAACATCGGATTTACTACAGCAGGGGATTTGAGAACTTCTTTAATCACAAAGGATTGCTAAATAGGCAGACAGTGTAGCCTCTTGTTTGAATAGATATATATATTCAGGTTATTAGGATTATAGAGATTCAATTAAGCTCAAGGTGGATTCATTTGGTAGCTGACATCATTTAGAGAATCATTTTTTTATGTTTGTTATAAGTGTTTATTGTAAACAGTTCTTCAGAGGAGGTCATTTACTTCATTGCTTACTGAGGCTATCGTCCTTCAAGACGCTGTTTTTTTCTCCTTTTCTCTTTTCTTTCTTCTTGCATGACTTGCCTCACTTTGAAGAAATGAACTTTGTCAAGTGTGAGGGCGATCTAACTATTTCAATGCCTGTTAACTCCCCGCTAGACTGTACTAAGATGAATAGTTTTCTAACAGAAGTCAGAAAATGCTCTTCTTCTAATGCTCTTAAATTGAATCCTATTAAATTTCACACTGTTAAGTTTAGTTTCAGATGTGAAAGAAAGTTAAATGAAGCTGTTAATTCCCAGGACTGTTGTAAAATTCATAACATTGATATAGAAATCAAGTCAGATGTTAAGTATCTTGAACTAATTCCTTCTTCTGATCCATCCTGGTCTAACCACATCTTGGCGATTTCTAGTAAAATATTCCGTTTGACACTTTACATTGGGAAATTAAGGCAGTAGAGCATGACTTAACTCCTCCTCTTACAGTTTGTCAACTCGTGCATCTCACCTATTCTTCTTTACTGTTAGCCCTTATTCTTTCCTGAATTGCTTAAAATCTATATCATACTTCGTAGAACTCTGAAGATTGTCAGTAGGATGAGTGGTGTCCCATTGGGTCTTATCGTTGACATCCTCATTGATGCCCACTTGTTTTCATGCAATAAGTTTACTAGAGGGGTTCTGTGTGGCTGTGAGCATCCACTTTACTCGCGGATCCAACCTTGTGTCTCCTCAGATAAAACAAGAAGTCATTTTAAAAGACTTCATGCGCGCAAGTTTAGGAATAAGAATTCCACGATACCATATTTGCCATGTATTAAATGTGGTGAAAGTAGTATCAGGCACAAACTCACTAACCTTCTTTCCACTAGTGAATAAACAATCTTCTCCGTCTAGATTGGACACCATTGAGTAACTTATGTAATGTATCTAATCCTATTTTTTGGTGCAGACTGAATTCTATCAGTTAAGTTTGCAATGTGGCTACAATGGCAAGTGGCTTGCCATCTTAGTGCATATAGCATGGTGTCTACATCGCAGCCTTGACTGACAGAATTCAGTCTGCACCCAAGACAGGACTGAACACATAACACTAGTCAGCAACTAGTGTTCAATCAAAATGTGTCTGAAACAGCTCTACAGGAAGTCAATCGCGAACCCGAATAGCTCATCAATGGGTGACGCGGGTTCGAAACTCAGAAGGAACATGAGTTCCTTCAAGGCTGCAGATACCCCTTTGCTAACCGGTGACCGCCAACTAGCACGAAACTTAGGTCAAACCGTAGTTCCTGCTGATTGCCTCCAATCTTCTTCCTTATACCATCAAGTTTTACTGTTATTATTTCTTCTATGTTTATAGTCCTCTTGTTTTCGTCTTTTTTTCCTAATCGTGAACACCATTTAAGCTATGTAATGATCGTTATTTTTTTGTTTTTCCCTTCACCATGCTATACCAAGAGAACATTAGATTCGATATTCTAAGATTTCCATACTTTATCGACAATACTGTTTGAAAAGAACCTACTGTCATTATTATGGTTATTAATCTCATTTTGTACTTTGCACATTGGAAAACCGGCGAGTACCGGACAGCTATTTCGTCCTAGTTTGGGACTCTTCATCAGTACGCACCCACCGACAGGGTTCGAACCCAGGACCTTCTGGTTACAAAGAGAGCGAGCTCGTAGACCATTAAGCCACTGGGACTCCATTCAATGGCTGAAGTGTCCCAAACTAGGACGAAACAGCTGTCCAGTACTTCCAGCTGGTTTTCCAAAGGTTTTCTGACTGATGTCAGCTTACGATGAAATCCTCCAACCAATCAAGCAAAATACCTGCAAAACCAAAACTTGGTAATAATCTATATAATCTGTGTCGCCAAAACTTAATGAATGGGAAATTCAGGTTATTTTTGCTTAAAAACTCCCATTTTGACTTAACTGATTTGTTATGCATTCCATCGTTAGTATTGTTTGCTTAAGATACCTTCCGATCACCAGCTAATGGCTAATGGCAAATTGGCGATGTTAATGTATTTTAGACAGAGTCAAGGTCTCTCCTCAGTTTGACCTTTAAGAACCAATCAGATTTAGGGGGCATTACAGTAGGTCACTTCAAATCAAATCAAACTATAAGGGGAAATCCACTCATGAGGTTGGACAGAGTATTCTACTTATTCCCTAGGTACTTTTTTATGTTAAAGTTTACAGGTTAAAAGACAATTTTCCAGTGCAGTATCATATTTGCATTGTTTTTAATACATATTTTTAACGATTATTCGACTTTTTTGCGCTTGAATTCTGATTGGTCACCCAAGGTCACTGTGATGTCGGCTGTGATACTTTAACTTCGCCGGTAGATTAATAAATAACTACACACTTGAATGATTTCGCTTCTCAAGACCTTGAATGCTGTCAATTTTCTTTGGTATGATATTGATTGATTTATTGATTTTATGTTGTTTTTTTTATTAACTCGTGATTCAATGATATGCTCTTAATCTTATTGATTTCTCCATCAAGTTTCGTCAGCATTATTATCAACAAAATCTTTTGTGTAGCAGACATTTTAAGAGTTTCGCTATTCCTTGATCTTGTTTCTTTTTCTGTTCTAGATATGGTCTTACGTTGAATCCCTCAAAATGTCAGATAGTTACTTTCACCTTCAGAAATAAATGTGATTTTATTGAACGCATTAGTTCACACGATGCTTGTAGCTTAGAGGGCACTGATATAGAGAATAATTCAATAATAATAATTTGCTTGTGGTACAGAATGGAATTCTCAGCATTTTTACTACAGTATTGCATCCAGTTAGTACATTATCCATAAATAAAATTCTGCGTAGATTAAATGAAATCTCAGTTCATTATGACAACAACATATTGGCATGTTGGTAGCAAAGCCAAAGTTGAAACAGTTGTTTGAAGGTGTTAGAAAAGTAGGAGCTATCATATCTACTGGCGTAAGCGGAAGAAAGAAACAAAGCAGCACATAACGGAAAATATAAGAGAGAGAGAGAAAAGGGATAGAAAGAAAGAAAATGTTCAACCTATAAATGATATGAGTTGGAAAGACGAGGTTCAGTTGTTCAACTGACTATTTAATGAATTATAGGTGTCACGCCTAATGCTTTCTTTATCACACAGAACACGAGCTAAGTAGGGTATGGTTGAGTTTTTGTACTTGCTGGTGTGAGCATATAGTTTTCTATATAGGCTTCTGGTTTTGCCTGATGAGATGCAAGGGGAGAGTTGTGAGTGAAGAGGGTGGTGTGAGTTAGATAAAATGGATTTGGCCCATTTTTCACATGAGTCCATGTGCACGTCAACCAGAATATTAACAAGCTGGTTAAGTGACACGTTGCTTACCCTGCTGACAACCTTTAACATCCTGCGTAATAAGGTATAGCCTTTGTTCAGTAGCCCTGGAAAAACTAAGGGGGAACAATAGAGAATAATAAGCAGAATGCAAGAGTTAACGAATTGTAGGAGTAAGGGTTGGGTTATTCCAGGATGCCTTAATTTCTTGATGTAGAAGGTAAGACGATATATTTTCTTAGAAATCGTCAAGATATGAGACGACCAGGAAAGATCAGCAGATAGAATGACACCTAGGTATTTAATTTCCTACTTGGTTTCTATTTCAGTGCCATTTATGCTGCACACCTCGTGAGACCTAACCAGTTTGTTTAGGTCAGATTTATGCCTAGGTATAGTTCTGTCGGCTGACATCCCTTGGTCATCATCCCATATCGTGCTGATTGGTAAGAAAATGCTCCGTCTAACCTTCACTACATTAAGAAGTTAAGACAAACAGATAAATATCACTCAACCTCTACTTTTACAGTTTCTTAAATCTCCCAGCTTATCTATTATTCTCTAATCGCTCTCCCTTAGTCTTTCCTGGGGTAACCAAAAACAGGATTATGTCATATTGCGAAGGATAAGTTGTGTGCCACTTAGTTAGCTCGTTACCCTTATAGTTGACAGACACCTAAACTCATGTGAGAAACAGTCCAAATCCATATCGTCTAACTCTCAGCCCCCTACCTCTACAATAACAACCTCCCGCTTGCTGCATCTCATTTGTAGGACTAGAATTCACTACTAGAGAGTATATGCTCGCACGACTAAGTATAAAAACTCAACGACACTCTATTTGCCCCACCTGTGTTTTATGTGATAGAGATAGTGTTACATGTGGAACATACAACTTATGGTGCAATGAGCATTTAAAACATTGACCCAGTTATTCTACCATATTTGTAATATAATGGTGAGACTCACTATCAACATTATCTTACAGTTTTGTGTTATTAGTGCTAATGTGGTGGGTGCTACTGATAAGATTTATTAGTAGTGTATAAATATACGTTCATTGGCATAAAAAACATCAAATAGCAAGGAGATACATTTGGTGTCAGAGAAGACAAATGGTACAGCATTGTGGAGATACATGGAAGACGTGAAACACAAATAAACACAATATAAAGGAAGGCGAGAAATATGGCAATGCGGAAGATCTGTGCAAATGTTGCGTTGAAGATAAGGAATTCATCATTTAGCTCCAACCACATGCGTCGTTCGCGAGCATTCTAGCGCTGTACCACCGATGCAATTATCATAAGTACTGTCTAGGAATAAAACTAATCGTTACTATTATTACTGTTATTATATATTCTGTGGTATTACACTTCGTACAACTTCCCATTTGAAAAAAGTTGATCATTGTTGTGAAGAGATTTGAAGTCTCGTTAAACATTAGCCAAAAACATTTTGAAGTGATTTGAATATGGAATAATTCCATGAATATTCATAAATTTCGTCGTGCTGAAGTGTCTGTAGCAGCTTTGTTTACAGGGTGGGGTTGCTAGCGTCACGCCTGAGAAGGGGAGAGAGAAAAGATTAGTGTTGCGTGACCGCAAAGCCCAGGGGACAACTGCTTGAGGCAGGTCACACACGGCCTGTTTTTGTATGTTCTTTCTTGTTTGGTGTGTCTCAGTAGCATATTTATCACTTCTGCCCTGTGACACAGCAGCAGGAAGCGCAGTCGTTGTTAATCCGGGCCCCGACCGATCCAGCATGATATTTTGTGAGTTTGTTTGAATCATTGTATTGGATTGAGTGGCTGCTTTTTGTCTAACCGCTATCCAAACAACCTTTCTGGCATGGTAGGACCTACAGGAACATAAGTTCCAGCCAGTGTAGCTCGTTGGTTCATTGCGATATGCATACGATTAGTTCACTTGTCAACATCTACTTGTTACCAGTACTCCCTGGATTTCAGTATCTCTCTAACTGATATCAATCCGTGACCAAACTTGGAAGAAATTAAATCCCTTCAAACGGACTCCCCAGAGTTATTGTGATGCTCACCAGTGACTGGCTACAGGACGGAGTTTCCTGGAGTTCTAGTGAGAAGTCAAAACTAGTGAGGTCCATTCAGTCAGGAGTAGGGATGGATTTCCCACCAATGACATTGGGTGGTGCCAGTCGCGCTAAATGCATCACGAATTGGTGTAGAAGTTAGAATTCATGGGCTGGCAGCCATTGAATTGCGTCACGTCCCAGTGACTGAATGGTGTACGAGTCAGTTTGCCTTGTAACCGGAAGGTCCTGGGTTTGAACCGTGGTGGGGTGGGTGCGTACTGCCGATGATTCTCAAACTAGTTGAACAAAACAGCTATCCAGTACTCCAGTGCTGGCTTTCAATAGTTCTCTAAATGATATCAATCCGTAAGCCAACTCGTAGAAGAAACAAATCTAATCCTTACAAATCAACCCTTGAAAATTAGAGAGAAATATTTTGCCATGAAAACTGCTTACAAAACAGAATCAGTGAGTTTAATAGTTATGGTAGATTGAATAACGATAGAAAAATATCTCTGGGTTTTGTTATCGTTTTTACGCTAGAGCAATTCATCAGAAAACGTAGGTTTTAGGCTTAATTTAATCTATTCAATATTTTCTACATATATATATGCGTAGATTAATACGCAGATTAAATTTGGATTAATTTAAATGACTACTCTTTACTTACTTGTTCCACTTTTATCTCCCAGTCTCCCATTAATTTCTTTCCTCTGAAGTATTTACACCTTAAGGGAATAAAAAAATAAAAAAATAAATAAAAGATTAATCAATATGCAGCAGTAGGGAAACGAATATATAACAATGGAAAAAGAGAATTTGGATGGAAGATTTCATCTTGAGCTGACATCAGTTAGAGAATCCTCGGGAAACCTACTGGGAGTACTGAACAGCTGTTTCTTCCTAGTTTGGGACTCTTCATCAGTACACACCCACCATTAGGGTTCGAACCCATGACCTTCTGGTTACAAGGCTAGAGAGCTCATAGACCATTAGGCCACTGGGATCCGATCTAATGGCCAGCGTCCATGAATTCCTACTTCTGCCAATTCCCGACATAGCGCAAGCAATATCCAGTGTCTTCTTCGATGAGTAACTGTCCTCACCTTCAACCTGCTGCACTTTACTGGTCACGGTTTCCCACTAGAACCCAGATATCTGACTATCTACCTGAATAGGGCCAGTCGCTCGTGAGCATCAGATTAATTTTCAAGTATTGCTGTTGTAAGGATTTTGTTTGATTGGTTGGAGGATATTACCCTGATATATTTGTTGTTCCTGATTTTTTCAATTTTACTACGAATCGATCTTAAGGATCCATAGATTCATAGGTCGAAACAGCTGTCCAGTAATCCCAGGTCTTATAGTAGTTCTCTAAATGATGTCACCTCATGATGAAATCCTCCATTCAATCAAACAAAATCCCTACAAAACCAATACTTCAAAGGAGAATTTATATATTATTATTATTGCCGTGGGTTCCGAGAGGAAAATACAGCTTCAGCAGAACATTTCCATTTCATCCTATCCTCTATTGTCCTCTTGAGCTGGCCAAACGATTGCTCATAAACTGACATCTTCTTAGTCTCACATGATCTCCCCCATGTCATTCTCGGACACACAGCCAACTCATCGCTTGCCATTCCAGTTTTACTCGAGCGACCGCCTGGCATGATATGTCACTCAACAGTATCCTCAGAGTATGTTCAATACATCTCCATTTCCTTCCGTATATTTACTAGGAGATAGGTTCTTGATTATTTCGTTCCTAGAGGTTCTTGTTTCGAATCCTTTCTGGCTGGCCTTCAGACATTCATTATGGAACCAGTGAATGCAGATGTTGATGAAAATTTGCAGTAGCGTTTTGAAAGTGCTTTTCGTGACACTTACTACTAGTTTCTGACCTATATAGAAGAAGTGACTGGTTTAACATTGGCTTTGAAAATCTGAATACTATTCTTTATGCTATGTAGTAATGAAAGTGAGTCTCGCTTTTCCGATGCAAGCTGAATTTGACATCCTCATCCGTTCTATCACCTGTAGTTGAAGCGATACTACTGCCTACATAAGTGAATTCATTTGGATTCCGTCATGCATTTCTAGAATGGTCCCTGAGTTTTATAGCTTTGTATGAGGAGGATAACTTTACGGTCAAGAGACAAATATTAATAACTCAGGGAATGGGCATTTGAATAAATTCGCTACTATAATAACTGATGGTGAAAGGTGGAATGAAGATATACATCGCAGAAGATGTTGAATCAGTTGCCTCTGAACTGTTGTTCTGACTGACTGACTGATTGGTTTCAACGTAGATTTTTTGCACAGATGTGCAGAAGTTTGAGTTGTCACTCTAAATATACCACACAAAACAAGAGGCGAGAGTGAAGAGAGGTTCAAAAGACAGACAGTAAACAGAAGTGTGAGGGAGGGAAAAACAATAGTAATATAGAAGAACAATAGAATTTTATTGGATACGACAAATCACAAAAGTAAATGCATCTACGCCATGCAACGAGGACGATTTGGAGCCATATCGCCAAATGCCTGCATTCATCATTGGTTCTTACTATCCCGAAGACCTCGACCAGTCAGGTCACCTACACCTCCCTAAGTGGCTGGCTTAAACTAACAGTTATGGATTTCATTGACTGATAAGGCCATGTTTTGGTTTCGCCACCACTAGCACTTTTCCAACGTGATCCTGTGTCAGCTAACATTGCGCGTCGAGGATGACAATGGTTAGACGTGCGTAGCACATATCCTAAACACCTCAGTCGATAAGTTTTTTTCTAGACAAATGAAGGTTGACCTAAGAGATTTAGGTGCTAATAATGCACTGCAATAATCAGGAATTATACGAATCACGCATCGTAATCTTCGCATAGTAGCGGTGATGAAATGGATTTGTGTAGTCGTTAAGTTAAAATTTAGGTTCAGATGAAACATCTATTCATACAAACTAAAATATGACTATTAAACATAAGTAAAATAAATTAATGGCCTGATAAGTCTTTATTATATTATTATTATTCCCTAGGGTTCCGAGTGGAACATAAGGCTTAAATAACACATCCTCACTTTGTCCAATTTTCTGCCATCCTCTTCAGCTTATCTTGCGATTGCCTATAATCTCTCATCTCTTCCTCACCACACGAACTCCTCCATGTCACCCTAGCACCCGCGATCCACTCGTCACTTCTCATCGCCACGCTATGTCATTCGATGGCCTCCTCACCGTATGCCAGATCCATCTGCATTTTCTTTGACATATTTGTTCAGCAACTGGTTGTTGGTTGGTTTATTCTCAGCCACAGTTTCTTGTTGCTAATTCTTTCTGGCTGACCAACTGGCCATTTGATCTTCAACATGGAGCGAAGGAAGCTTTTGATAAAAGTCTGCAACTGGCTGTTGGAAATCCTTCTCGTTTCTGATCCGTACAGAAGCAGTGACTGACCAACTTAGTATTGGTGTTGAAAATCCAAATGCTGTGCTTGATGCTGAGTGAGTGCAGAAGATTTTCAAACTGGTTTCAAGAGTTTCTTCCCATTCCAATAAGTCTTTGCTTCGGATCTATAGACTTATACTTTGTAACTAATAAAAACGTCATTTAAATGCGGGGAAATTAATTTTCCAGTTACATGACACCAGGCCACAGTCATGGTTCTATCTTCTAAGTCATGAATTCGACTCATCTTTCCCTACATTTTATGGATCATCATCCATTGACAATATTGTTCATCTTTCTCCATGACTCTCGCCGACCATGCACATGGTCCGAGGTTCGATCCCCTGCCAATGCACACCCGATATCTATGGTCGGCCTGCAAAATTTGGGCTACCGATATCCATGCTGAAAATTCAATACTTGTACCAAAAATACGGTGTGGAATCAAGCTGTAATCAAAAATATAAAAAAATAATATAAAATAGAACACTGTGACTTTCAAATTAGCACTGCAGGATCACTTTTGTTATGTACGGTTTCATAAGTAGTTAGTATGAGTACTGAATAGTAATAGTAATCTTATTTAGTGAAAGTGATTTCTATTGTAAAGATTACTTATGACAATGTTAGAGGATTGCATGTGTCGGTTGTCCAACTGTAGAATACTAGCTAACCACGCTTCACATGATCCAAGGTTCGATTCCTAGCCAATGTACACCTTTACCTCCTTTAGTCGATTGTAAGCCCTATAAAGAGGGAAGGTTGGGCATGAGGATAACAACCCCACTCTGTAAACAAGAATCATTACTGCTACTGAGAATTCGAAGCCCAAACCTGAAACCCTACGTTCCACTGGGAATGCTTAGGAATGTGGGATTGGGAGAGGTGTAAGTGGATTGATGCTCCCCGAATTGGGCTCATTTCCAGTTCTGTTTCTTCTCATAGTATCACTTCATCTGTAAATGCATAGAGTTTAGGTGAAGTAGCCTTATTTAATTTATTATCTGAATAAATACGACCACCACAAGAATTATAGGATTTTTAATGGTCCATAAAACATTTCCCTTTGGTTTACTAATGTTTCTATGATAATAGCTTGATTCCACACAGTATTTTTGATCCAAGTATAGAATTTTCAAAATATGATATCGGTAGCCCAAATTTAGCAGGATGACCATTGATATCAAGTGTGTGGCGGCCGGGGATCGAACCCCATACCATATGAATGGTCAGCGAGCGTCCTAATAGCTGTGCCGTCAGACACATTTTCACTGACATTCCCAAAACTTTTCTTCCCATCAAATATACATGCAATTTAGGTTTAATTTCAGTTTTTGTTAGACTTTTGTCCTCTCCAAATGATAATTCCCTTTTTTCCTATTACTTTGGTAATATCATACTGTCAAAACATTCAAGAATACAAATAATTCATTATTGTGTAGACAGTGTTGACCATGTAGTAATTTGGAAACTGTTTCAACACCAAAGAGTACCCGAAATCTTTATAACCCTCACTCAACAGCTATATTACAATGCTACATGTCAAAGGATCCACAGTATAAAATTCAGTGAAGCCTTTGAAGTCGAAACCGGAGTAAGATAAAGAAGGCTGCCTGCTATCATTGATGATATTCCTAATTGTCGCCGACTGGATTATGCGTCACGCACGCAGTTTGGGGAGTGAGAAAACACGAATAAGTTGGACTGGTAAGAAGACTTTAGAAGATATGGATTTCGTGAATGATTTATACGTAATGTCACACAAATCTGAAGACTTACAAGAGAAAAACAACAAGTTGTCATAGGAGGCTGGCAACAAGGACAGAACTTCAACTGAATATAAAGAAGACAGAGGTGATGAAGATTACTAACTAACCATCAACAACAAGCACCAATCACTATCAACTTGAGAAATTTGAAAGGGGCGCTTTCCTTCACTTATTTAGGCAGGAGGTCAAAAACAGAATCATAAAGACGAGGCAACCCTTCATTACTGTAAAATCAACGTGGAAATCTTCTGATCTCAATTAGCATAAAGAACAAAATTCGGATTTTCAATACCAGTGTTAATCGAGTCAGTTCTTCTTTATGCGTTACGAAAAGTATTTCCAAGGGAAAAACAATAATAACAGAAGCGAATGATACAGCTATATTTCCACAGTGCATATTAGTCGACCTTTGACGATCAGCATCTAACGACCAATTAATGTACACCAATATTTTCTGTAACATGAGAGTTTTGATGCAGTGAGATTAACTATTAAACGGTTGATTCGGGAC